CTTTTGGAACAGCAATCCACTGTCCTTCACAGCAGGGAGTGAGCCCCACCTACGGTGGACCACACAGTCGTCTGACTGCTCTGGATGGCTGATGCCTTCGGGGAGATAACTTGACAATCATTTACCATGAGTTGCAAGCCGTGTCTAGGTCTGACATATATTTGGGGGAGACAAACTGGGGGAAAACCTCTGTCTATCCCACAGCAGACACGGCCACTGTGTTAGGAGTGATGATGTGGCCAGCTCTTGGAGGAGCATCTGAACCCCAGTTTTGGTGTTGCTCATGTCTATGTTCTTCCTATTCTACAACCTTGCCTCCCCCAAATCTTAACACCTGCTGGAGGTGTCTTAAGTGATGGATATCTCAGAGTGCTTCTGGGAAATCCCTGATCTTACCATGGGTCATCAATCATGGCCTACGCCAGTGGCATACCGTATTTCCCTATCTAAGGGAGGTAACCTGGATGGGAAAGCTCTGACTTAGATCTGGCTTCTCATCTCCAGTGGAGCCAGCTTGGTAGCGAGGTCCTGCTCTCTCTCCTCTGAGGTCTCCCTTGCTTTCATAGGGATGGAAGATACCACAATGCTCAGCCATTTGTCATGCAACTTTCCAGGTTACACAGCACGTTCCTTTATATTATATTCCATTCACCAAATATGGACCAAGCCTTGTGAGATTCTGTACTAGGTTCTGGGGATTAGAGAGGTGACTAATCCTAGGCTTTATCCTCGAGTTGTTCAATGTCTGGCAGTAACAACCCAGAGAGAACAAAGAGGCTTCATAGGCCATGACTTTCAAGCTTTTTCGACTTGGAAAAGACTGTGATCATATCCCAGTATCTATAAATGTAAAGCAACTGCTGTTTCAGGTTCCTTAATGGGCATCTCCCATCAGTCTGAAACCCATGCTCTGATGGATGCACAAAGGGCTACGGGGACACAGAAAAGGGAGCCGGTCGTGCCAGGGGTGAAGTTGGAGAGGGACAGTGGGCATTCTCTGGGCACACAAGATGGCCAACGCTTTCTAGTGTTGTGAATGTGAAAGCCTATTCCCAGCGGTGAGAAAGAGCACAGGAAGCGGAATGCACAAGAGGCCGGCCAGGTGTAAAAGGAACTTTCTGTTAAATGTGGTAGCTTCAACAGGTATATTCATGTTGGCTCATTTCCCAGCGACCCCTCCACTAAGTAAACAAAGGATTAAGAACAAGAGAAGAAGCAAGACCTGGGCTATCAGCAAAAGCCTTTTGGGAGATGGAAGATGAATGGGAGACAGAGAACTGACTGCAGGGGGATGAGGGTGGGGGTTCTGAACAAGCTGAAGCCTGAAGGCTGACCCACCGGAAGAGACTACATTTGGGTGCTTGGAAGTCTCTGAACCTCTCTGAAGGTGGGGATGGAGGGATGGAGCTGAAAACAGAATGAGTTTAAAGCCTTTATAAAGAGTCCTTAGCTCCCCAGATTCCCTCTTCTAGCCTGGGCACTCAGGTGGCTGCCCTTCTCCCACCCCAAGGGATGGCTGCTAGACTCTCTGGAGAGGGTGAACCAGAGAGAAGACACCCAGGTCTTCTTTGGCGTGGCCACTGGAGCATGACAGCCAGGCTCTGACTACCCAGGCTAGAGATCATGATCTTAGTCTCTGAGGAACAGAGCGACCTGAGAGAAAAGACTCCTGGATATCGACATGGGGGTGGGGGGGTGGGAGGGGAAGGAGTGACCGTACCTACCACATCCCCCTACAGCAGGCCCTCAATCTGTGAGGCCTGTGTCCAGAGGGCTTCCCATTGGCCTTGACGTGCCTCTGCTCAGGGATGGAGAAAGCACGGGGGTCAGCCAGCGGTGCAGTTCTCCCCTCCCCACAAGGGAGAGCTGCTTCAGATTCCTGTTCAAGGCCCCTTGCACACAGATACGACCTGTCCTGTCGGTCAGTGGAGGCTCGCGTGTAGCTGTCCTGCTGAGCCAGCACTAAGATGTACGAGGAAGAAAGGCCTGGCAGATTGAAAACCAGCTGACGAAAACCCTGAGGATGATCACGGTCTGCTCCCTAAACCCTGAGGAATATCACGGTCTGCCCCCTAAACCCCGAGGATGATCACGGTCTGCTCCCTAAACCCCGAGGATGATCACGGTCTGCTCCCTAAACCCCGAGGATGATCACGGTCTGCTCCCTAAACCCCGAGGATGATCACGGTCTGCCCCCTAAACCCCGAGGATGATCGCGGTCTGCTCCCTAAACCCCGAGGATGATCGCGGTCTGCTCC